TTTCTATTTTTTTAGTAGAGACGGGGTCTCGCTCTTGCTCAGGCTGGTTTCGAACTCCTGAGCTCAAACAATCCGCCCTCCTCAGCCTCCCAGAGAGCTAGGATTACAGGCGTGAGCCACTGCGCCCGACCAGAAAAATAGCTTTCAAACAGATGTTTATTTAAAACCAATATATCTGTCTCTTGTTCGTTCATAAGATGGGAGGCACAAAAAGCACTCACATCTAACTATTAATTGAAATGACTTAAAAATGTGGCTAGTCCTTCCATAACTTTCAGTGTTGTTGAAGTGTGTGAGTCTTTTAAAGCTCCACATGGTGCCCATCACTTTGATTTTTGTCAAAGATGTAAACTACACTGGTTATGATGAACAAGTAGTCTTCACATCTCCCAAGAACAGAACAAGAAGAATGTGATTAAGCTGCAATAAGACCAATTTATTTATGATATGAGAGACATACGTTTTTCTTTACTGAAATTATGAGATGGCTTCCATGGCTGATTATTTAGTCTACTTCTTGGAGGCTTATACAATTCTATTTTGTTGGTTTAGAAAGACCTAGTTATGACCTTGGTGAAAGGTGGAGGTGGAACAGACAACCCTTGGCAAAGGCAGCGCTTGGGAGAGTGAGTTTCCCTGAACCCTCGATAAGGATGTGGCCCATGGAGGAGGTGAGGGGCTTGGTCCTCAAAATCCAGTGACATAGTCCACAACCTAGCACCTGTCTTCCGTGCCGCATGTTAATCTTCCTGCCATAGCTTGTTTTTTAAGACTTCTCAAAGCACCCATGAGCCCTGGGTGGATTTTATATCCCCTTGCTATTTTGTAGCCCCTGCCATTCCTCAGGGTTTTATATATTTAAGGAAGCTTTCATTGATTGTTACAAAGAAGAAATGAAATGTATGTGCTTTATATCATCATTTTATAAAACTAACATGTATTGTGCAAATTGTCACACTGTATCCAAAGAACAGTAATTAGGACCAGAGTGCAAGAGAAACAAAGCAAGTGTTACTTATCTAATCTAAAAAAATGATGTAAGCTTTTCTTTAGGATTTTATTTTTTACGTAGGATTTAATTTCTAAATAGCATGTTTCTTATTTAGTTCATCCCCTATTTCAGCAGCATTACCAAATTCTGAGTGATTTTATTTTTTATATATCTTTTGGCAGACAGTTTGTAGAACTATTAATTCATATTATATGCATTTTTATGAATAAAATATTTCCATTATATATATATATTCAGTTTACACAACACAATATAATTTAATGGCAATTTACAATGAATTCCATGTCTATCTTGAACTCTACTGGAGACCAAAGTTTCTTAAATAAGGTGTGTGCACATGGGCCACGAAAGATCTGAACAGATTCCTCCTATTGAAGTCTACTCGTGTGCTTAGTACTAGCTTCCTCAACCACCTGCCTATCTGAAGAACAAGTTCCTAAAGAAAAAAGGCAAAAGAAATATTGCAACACAGGAGCAGAAAAACGCCGACACCAAAAGAGCACAGGAGAGAACTTTGCTCAGATTCTCTAAACTTTGAAGGTTGAGAGATGGAGGTTTTACTATATGAATCTTTGTACTCAGTTCTAGCCATCAACCCCACAAGCTATCCTTGATATGGCTGGATAAATAAATGTTATCAAATTCCCCCAGCTAGGGATAATTACCCCAAACACTTTATTTTAAATTCATTCTAGAAACAAAGATTCTTAATTTCTTTTTTTTAATCTATCCTTTCGAATGCATTGTGCTCTATCTAATATGTTTAATTTACATTAAACAACAACAAACCCTTTAAAACTCAGTGTTTCTTAGCTAAACTCAGAATGAAAATAAAATTACCCTATGCCAGTTAATTCTGAAGGAACCATTTAATTAGAGTAGATTGTTGCATTGGGAATTAGGCCTTATTTGTAACACATCCCATTGCAATAGTGATCTGTTAAAGCATTACTAACATATTTAAAGTCAACTTGAATCATATGATGAATACTCATCTTACTTACTTAGATGTCTGAGCCTTAAAATCATAAACAGCTTTTGCAGGCAATTTCTGAAAAGGGAGATGAATAATTAGCACTAAGTTAAAAATTTGGATTTCCTTCAAGGAAGCAGTTTCACAAGCATGCAAGAAATCTCAAGGAATGATTAAACATACATACTGTAAATCCTATATTGAATTTACAAATACATCAGTTAGTTCTGCATTTAGACATTTAAGCTATAGCAGGAACATAAAGGGCCTATCCACTGTAACATTTCACCTTTTAGGAACTCAGGGGGATTAATGCCACAATGGGAGAATAAAATGCCTGCAGAGGATTCTGTCCTGGGTGTCATTTTGACTGTTACAAAGGCTTTTCCTAGAATAATTCTGGAGGGTCAATTGCTGTACATTCTACAGATGGACACAACTCCTTCTGAATCATAATAAAAGGACCAAAAGCCATAAAGGAAGTCATCATCCCATTCACTAAACACTTATTAGCACATTAGCAAAGAAATATTAGTTCAGTAATCACCGGGAGGCTGGTTAGTGGCCAAAAGTATGGGCATGATCGTCTTGCATTCCCTCAAGGGTTCTGGAATCCTCTGGCACCCTGTCCACCAGCTGCTCTCTTTTCATCATGACATGATGCAGCGGTACACATCCTCAAACTGTGGGGCCCACAAATCTCCCTGAGGCACCCTGAACCCTATAGTTACCTACACCAGCTCTTCCTTCTCCACCAAGCAGTAATCCCTTCACCCCATTCTCTTTCCCTGTGATTGTGGTGAACTTTAGGAACCTGGACCATTCCTGACTTCTTTGGGGGTCCCACAGGCACTGTCCTATCCTCCTGGAGAGGCTGCCAGTCCAAGCCCAGCTTTCAGTTTCCATCACACCCTCATGGCTCCCACACAGAAGGAGCAAGAGCTCTAGCCCTGGTGCAGGGCCATGGAAAAGAGTTAGTTGGCACATGGTTCCCAGGGGCAGTGTCTCCGAGAACTGGGCTGATTTAAAGGCTTTTTTCAGGAAACTCCTCCTACAAAAGTAAGCCAGCAAAGATTTTTTTATGTAGGATTTGTACTGATTTGCAACACAGTTGACATAGGGCTTTCTCCTAGACCAGTGGGCCAGGAAATTGCACAGAGGAAATCTGCTCCCTCCACGAGGCAGCCCAATTCAGGACTCTTGTAGACCACACCTGTTAATTCACGAGCATCAGATCAAGACTCAGAAAGGCCTCTTTGCCAAAAATGGACCACAACTGGGGAAGACCCGGAGCCAGGGTCAGAGAGAAAATCTCTTTGGGTCCTATGCTCAGGCCAGGAAAACTGTTTCTAGTTCCTCAGTGGTTATTTTCACATTTTCAGTCTGGGATTTTTACTGGTTGGGGGTGTCTGCTTGGTTGGCAAGTGCTATAAATATGTTGCGGTAAAAGACCCCAACACTGTTAAGCTACCTACCTCTTTTTCTGGAGTTCCTCTTCTTTCCCTTGGCGCACTTCTCCCGAAGTCAGGCAAGGTGGATGAGTAACTTCTCGGGGACTCACGGTCTATTGGAAGGAACAGGGTGGGTCAGGGTGAGTATCCACTTAATTGCAAGCGCCTTGCTCAGCCATATTCCCTGGTGGCAATGATTTTTTCCTCCAAATTTGGAGAGAGACGCCACTATTAAAGACATGGGTATAAGACTCACAGGTAATTGTGATATAAGACACAAAAGCGAAAACATTTCAAAAGGAAAAATATCCCAGGTTGCAGAAGCACTATAACTACATATATAAATGTAATTGTTACATTGCTAATTAATTATACTGCCACACCTGACAGAGACAATTTATGGTTACAGGGATTTTTCATCTCAAAAGATTTTTAAAACTTTCTATTCTTTTTGCCTACATTTTATAATTACTGTTATAAGGCCTATAAAAGATAAAGAATTTGAAAACAGCATCAAATTGTAGAAACAGAAACATTTTGTGGAACAACTTAACAATGTAGTAATGAAAAAGAAAGAGATAAAACCAAAGAAAATATGTTGATGACAGGAGCATGGTCATGTCGACACTCTCTCTCTCTCTCTCTTTCTTTAAATACTTATTGAGTCATGAGATATCATACCTTTTATCTATGGCCTTCCCTGTGCCCAGCTGATAAACTATCTTATAAGAACATAAATATTCCAAAAACAAAGGGATAAATATAAAGCATCATATCAGTTGCCAAATTGCTTATGACGCATTAAATTCTTTTTGTTCATCTTAAAGGAAAATATAAATCATCACATTACAAAATTATGACTGCAAGTAGTTCTTAATAGTAGCTTATACCTTATGCATTTACGTGACTTATAATGTGGAAATGTAACTGAAGCATGACTGTATTCAAGTAGTACATGTTATAGAATTTTACCAATGTAATTGGGTCAAAATTTGTCAATTATTTCTTCCATCCCTTAATAAATTTAGTTATACTAAATAATAAGAAGCATTAAAAATCGAATTGGACTTATCCCCCTGTGAAGGAATTTAAAATGATCTATTACAAGAAAATGTTGTTTAAAGGTTTTAAGTACTTTGACTATATGAAAGAATTGACTGCTTACAACAAGTGGATATCAGTTACATGACATATAAGGATAAATGCTAACTCTGTGAGTTGCAAACTCCAAAGTCTTTAGGTTTAGGAAGGGTATATGAGCAAATGTTTCAGGTAAAACTTAGCCAGTTGTTTCCATGCATGCTAGAAGATTATGTACAGTATATTTTTCATTCTGTCAATATACTGGTATGATTAAAGGGCTCTCATAATGATTATAAATTTTAAGTTACTCTTACTAACCCATGGAATGTAAACTATTTTTTCATTTGGGCTAAACAAAATTGGAAAGTAAGTATTTTATTAAAAAACAAAATACTGTTTAAATGCTCTTCAAAGCCCTCTCAAAATATGTTTCAATGACATACTCTATCTGCACATAAATTTGGGAGATGATTGTATTAGGATATGGAAAAACTGGAGAAGGTAGCTAATTTATTAAAAAATTAGATTCTGATGTTTTAATCAGTGAAAATTTCCAATTGTAGGAATTGATTTTAAACATTTTAATTTACTGAATTACTTTTGGAAGCATGTTGCACAGTATAAATGAAAGCAGAGATAAATACTAAAAAGTAAATTTGTGCAATAATAAATAATTGAGTAATATGCATTACAGTAATATGAAATTTGAACTACATCTTTTTTTGTCTATAGAGATTATATTTTATACTACACATTCTGAATTATTAGGGGTTTGAATCTCCTTTTTGTCACCTGCTGTCTGTGTGACTTAGGGCAAATTTCTTGTCTACTC